TAGCTCCTTGAATTTGTTTCATGACACTACCTTCCGTTCCTTCTTGCAATAGGATTTTCACCATGTCAATGCATGTATCGAAAGCTTCAAAGTCGTGAACACAAGCTTCTCCTTGAATGAATATCCGTAGAGGGTAAAATACGTCTCCATCTGCTCGATCCAATCATCAAGCCTCTCGACGTTAACACTCCCATCATAAACATGAATCTCTAACTTAAAGTCTATCTTTAAATTCTGGTAAGAACCCTTATCCCCTTGATGCGGAACAGTTTTGATAATCTCGGCCTCTCTATCAAAATCAGATTCCTCGCCTTCTCCATCGGACTCCATAAGTTTCTTCTTGCCTTTCGAAGAAGATTCCTCCTTTTTGTCCTTTTCTTAGAAGATATTAACGAGTTGTGTGAGAGTTGAACTCATTGTCTCCATCTGTTTCTCCATTGCATCTAGCCTCGCTGAACTATCTCATTTAGTTATCTTCTTCTTTCTTAATTTATGGACTCCTTCTAATGAAATAAAGATCTCGCCTAGCTTCTTATATTGCGATCGAGTCAGGACCATACACAGAATGCCCCCTTCATAGGATATGATCGTTCTGATACCAACTTGATACGAGTAGCCGTGCGAGCACCTTTGATCGTGGAATTATCAAAGGTGGGTTGAGAAGAAAATAACAAGAACACAAGAATAATTCAGTGGTGTCGAAAGAAAATACATTCTCTAGATTATGAGAATAAAATAGTTTACAATCTCTTACAATCTCACTAGGATTGAAGAATAATCTCTCTCAATTCTCAAATACAATCTAATCTCTCTTGATTGCTTTCTCCTTTTTTTTAAAACCCTAAAACAATCTCTTATATAGGTGTAACAACGTGGATGGAAAAATGGTAAATAACCAAGCCCAAACCTCACAGGAATTCGTGCAAACAGAAACTCAAACGAACCAGGAAACCGTCGATGAGTCGACTCATAAACATGCATGAGTCAACTCATGCTAAGTGAGTCGACTCATGATGAGGTGAGTCGACTCGTCAGAAACTTTCGATAAAACTGCTAGGTTTCGTGAGTCGACTCATGACAGGCATGAGTCGACTCAACCTGATGAGTCGACTCATGTATATGTATGAGTCGACTCACGAGCTGAAAACTGGATGCTTCGATTCTTCGATTCATCATCTCGTTCCACGCTTTAACCTGCGTTCTACTGTATTGTTTTACCCCTCTATTCTCAAGTTATTATGAGAATCATCTATCCTCAAGCTCTCATGAGGATCGCTAAGTTCCAAAGAGAAGATACACCCGTATCAATAGCGTCCTAACTAGTTGTGATCTCTTGGTAGCTCTTAGGCTTGGAGTTCTACTCCTATGAATCACATAGTTTTTTATGGCTGTCTTCTTTGTTCTCTTCATGAATTTGCAAAGTGGGATGTCCTCCTCCCCAACTACCTCCTGCTGTGTATGCACATCCTCATTCTCAAGTTGTGTACCCCCTCCACATCAACTCTTTTCTTATTCAACTACTCGTCCTCTTCATTCTTAGTTACTTCATCTCTTCCTTCTTCGTTTCACTAAAATGCTCCTGAAGGTTACCATCTTCATAATCATGCACAAACTCATTAGCAAAGAAATCTCTATCATCATCATGTCGGTCGACTTCATCCATGGTTGGCTTTCCTTTCTTTTACTTTGCAATAAACTTCTTCACATTTTCTTTTAAAACTTCAAGTATTTTGTCATCAGATCCATCGTATCCTTTAACTTTTTCATTAAGCCTAAAAATCTCATTCATAAATGTTTGACAATACAATTTCTTTGAATGCCTCAGTGCATGACATATTCTTTGATTTAATTTAGCAATATTTCTCCCGATGAGCTGCTTCTCAATGGGTATCCTTAATCTCATCTTCCTTTTGAAAGGCATCATCAATAGCGTTTGATATAATCTGTAAATTTAAAAAAAAAATAAAAAGTTAACAATTGCTTTGTAAACGTTAACAGGTAAAACGCTAAAGTTCATACACATTATTTAAATCACAACAGATACTGGCTATAGTTCACATATACGTAATAAATATTAATATGCAAGCGAGTAACATTAATATTGTTTTCATAAAAGTTAATAGTTCGTGTGATATACTTAATAGTTAAAACTATGCACTTAATAACACTGGTTAAGAGCTTACCAAACCTATTGATGATTTCTTCTTTTCTTCCTTCTTTTCTTCCTTCGTTTCTTCTGCAGGCTTCTTCCTCCAATATGCTCTCTGCTCCTTAATAACTTTTTCTGGAGAAGGTTGTACATGATGCTTCTTTACTGGGAGTGGTGGAATCTCTTTTCTTCTAATCCTTAATGAATTATCTTCCCTCATATTTGGCCTTCTGAGTGGATATTTTTTAACCCATGGGCCAAATTCACCTATATGTTTCTGAACTACAGCAATGCCTATTTTTTTTTATTTTACAATAATTGTTTCCTTTAGGAGAGATCCAAACTTCTCTCCAGTCATCATCCAACTAGTCAGTAGTGGCTTGAAACTATTGCTTAGGGTATTTTTTTAAATCTCTGTCATTTCGTAGTACTAGAGCTCTAAATAAATTGTTCAAATTAATCAGTTAACATGCACTAATTATCTGTTTAACATGAAACAAGTAAACATTCTCATGTGTTGTATTAGTTTAACATCAATCACTCAAATGCGGTATTCATCAAATGTAGTTAACACTATCCTGATAAAGATTAATATGTACTGATTTACATTGACATGAACCAATTAACGTTAATTGCCTTAACTTTAGTTGACAGAATACATAGAAGCGTTCACGTGCATTAGTTAACCATAACAATAAAAAAAAGTTAATATAACTTACAAGAACCAGAGGCACGCATCTAGCACATATGAAACCCCTGGTTTGTTCAGACATGCTCTAGCTATCTTAATGACTTTCTTCATCTGATCATAAATGAATTTCCCTTATGGCACATTCTCTATTATTTCAATGCAATCAACATACTTCAACAAGAGCCTAGGGATGTCTTGCACACTGCTGGGGCACCAAATCATTGAACATTAATAAAGAATCTGCAGCAACACAGTTCTCAATATCCTTCTTCTTTTTTGATTCAACAAGAGATTCTAGTAATCCTCCCACATAACTTCGCATATTCTTTGAAGCTTATTTTTTGTTTCTGGTAAATTAATCCACAAAATACTCCATCCAAATCCTAGTGTGATAATCTCTATTGCTATAAATTATTTGCTTATCAATTGGGAAACATGTGTGATCATGAACCCAGTCCAAATCAAAATTAAATATCTTTTCTCTCCCACTCTCATCGGGCAAAGCAAACATCACTTCACCTCCTATATAGTGACTCAAAACAAGTTCAAGCGTGGGTCGATCTACTACTGGGGGTCAAATATTACATAATGCTCAAATGTGCACCCATCGTACGCATCCCAGTGACACTGCTTCATTCTCGGTTCAAGTACTTTCATAAAATTATAGTATGCACTAAAACTAGCGGTCGACCTAATTTCTGCAGCCTGACCAGACTTTTTTCTATAATAAAATTTAACACTTAACATCAATCTATCTAAACTTAACATCCAATAGCCAATAGTAACAACCAACAATGAAATGTAACAGTTATGCTATACCCCTTAACAACCATTCACTAAACTTGTTATCGATCAATACAGCTTAACATATAATGTGTAAAGTCAGGTATCAGATACCAATATGATCAACTAAACTCTAGACTTAACAGTTAATGAGAAACGTTAGCATGTTATAATGATATGTAACAACCAATTGTTCATCAGTAACAGTAATATGTTAAATTTCACAGATCCATACATATAGTTCGCAATGCACCTACAAAAATACATAGTTATCCTTCCATACAACATTTTCCACAGTTTTCTCAAGTAATCTTCAGACAATTCATCCAATATAGATTCACATTTTTCCGTAACATATTCCACAGTTTGCCATAAATTTGGAAATTTAACGTAAACTTACTTCTTTCTAGATTTATCTAATTCCTCTTTTGAACTTGGATTTTTCCTCTTTCTTAATAACCCCTTTTGCATGCCCAACAAGGTCTGGGTGGCTTCATTAGTTCTGTCATTCCTTGATGATGAAGCATGAGTGGACGAAGACATGGAGGGGGATGAGAGAGCAGACGATCCATGGTCGGTCTTCGACGGCAAGGGGTGACCTTTAAAACTCTTCGGCGGCGAGGAGGGTCTTTAAGGGTCGTTGAAGGCGAGTCTTGTCGCTCGTCGTTCATCGCCGACGGTTCCTGCTCTTGTAGCGAATACAAAAAACGATGAACAACATTGAATTCATCCATAGTGTGGTCATTTGTTCCAGATTTAAGGGAATCTAGGTTTGCCGTGGAGATTTCGGCCATTTCGTGACTAAATTGAGAAAACGCTAGAGTGGGGATTTAGGGTTTTTACCTGATCATGTTAACCTTAGAGCGAGCAAGAAAG